AGCTGGATGTGCTTGGTGTCTGGCTCAGGGAGGGGTGGGAGGCAGGGGCAGGCCACCAGTGAGGGACAGTGGCAGGGCTGAGCTCAGCGTCGTGCTTCTCAGAACCCAGGGACTGCTGAGCAAATATGCAGAAAAGCACTGGTAGACGTTCCCGCCCTGGCAGCGTTGACTTGTGCCAGAAGCTGGCACATCTTCCCACCACTTGGACAGCCTCTCACAAATCATGAAATTAGGCTGTGAGACATTAAGTAACTCGACTTGGGGGTCACATGGTAAATGGGAAATAAAGACATGAGTGACATCCACCCCAGAGCACCTTCTGCTGACAGAGGTTCCGCTATACCCATCAGGGCCCCTCTTCTGCCCCTAGTATGTCCTTTAAAGATACCATTGCTCACCCAGACAGGACACCCTGGCTGTATGTGAGTGGAGATCGTTTAGCAGAGGGGGCTTGTCAGGACTTCCTGGATGAGGTGGCACTTGCTATCAGGGCCTGGGTGAGTTTCATCCTCCCCCTCTCCCAGGACATCTCCTTACCAGGTACTACTGTCACTTTTTCTGGAACATTCAGGCCTGCATAGCCTGCCATTCCGGTTCCCCACGGTGGTGCCTAAGAGGCAGAGGGAGAGGGAGGTGTGGGTTTGAGGAGGTAGCTGCCCTGCCCAGCTTTGCAGTGAGACAAGTCACTGCACTGTCAGACGGGGAGGGAACCAAGCTTGGATCAGCAGAGGCAGCAGCAGAAGCAAGCTGGGATAACAAAAGAGCCAGCACATCTGGAACCAGAATGTCTGCCACAGGCACAGTCTCGGAGCCCTCGCTGGGGTATGTGTGGCCCTTGGGCTCATGGGGGAGCTAGGGCCAGGGGCATAGGGGTCTTAGGGAAAATGGTCCTGTTAGGGGCCAGTGGCTGGTGGAAATAAGATGTGGGGGTCACAGAAGAGGGGCCAGCCTGGGTGCCCAAGGAGTCTGCCAAGGAGCCTGAGACTTCAGGGTGACAGCCAGACAAGGGAGCTCAGGGCAGAGAGGTGTGGCCTTGTCTTCCTGAGCCTCACAACCCTATGACAGATAGGAAACACCCAGTACCCCTGGGGGTGGGGATAGACCCTGCATCCTTTCCTGAGCTGCTCTAGGCTTTGGAAGGAGGCAGCCTTATGAACAGATAGGGACCTGGAAGGGGATACCAGAGCTGTGACCAAGGTGTCAGAGAAGGAACTTCTTGGGAGGGGAGGCCAGAGTTGAGTTTCCGCTTTCAGGTTTAAGAAGCCACATTTTCACCAGGCGTGGTGGCGCACGCCTTTAATCCCAGCACTTGGGAGGCAGAGGCAGGAGGATCTCTGTGAGTTCAAGGCCAGCCTGGTCTACATAGTGAGTTCGAGGACAGCTGGGGCTACAGGGAGACCCTGTCTCAAAAAGATCCCCCCCCAAAAATGGGGCTGGGATGTAGCTCAGCTAGTGGAGCACTTTAGCTGGGGCTACAGGGAGACCCTGTCTCAAAAAGATCCCCCCCCCCAAAAAATGGGGCTGGGATGTAGCTCAGCTAGTGGAGCACTTGCCCAGTGTGTATGAAGCTCTAGGTTCGATCTCCAGCACTAGAGAAACCAAGTGTTTTGGTGACTGCCTATAATCCCAGCACTTGAGATGGAAGCTGAAGGATCAAGAGCTTAAGGTCTTAACTACATATTGTTGGAAGCCAGTCTGGGCCACAGAAGAGCCTATCTCAACAACAAAAACGGGGCTTTGTGGTGCAGAAGCAGGCAGATCTCTTGTGAGTTTGAAGCTAGCCTGCTTTACAAATTGAACCCCAGGCCAGTCAGGGTTTCGCAGTAAGACCATGTCAAAAATACAAGAACAAAAACAAACAAACAAAGAACCAAAAAGAGCCACGTTCCCTATATCACACTGGCTGAAATCTGGCGTGGAGGCACATGCCTGTCATCTCAGTACTCAGAAGGCAAAGCCAGGACACCACGGAACTACACTGACTAGCTAGACTAGCCACTTTAGTGAGCTCTGGGTGCCACGAGAGACCTTTCCTCAGTAAACAAGGTGGGGGACAATTGAAGAAGACACCATATCAGCCTCTAGGCACACACACATGCACCTGCACACACACCTTCATCCACACAAGTGAACACACACCCGTACATCACACACATACATACATTCATAACCCCTCATACACAAACACATAAAGTGTGGGACACGGAGTGACATACGGTCAAGGTGTTGGTGGGAGGAGAGGCTGTGGGGTACAAAGGCTGTGTGGGTGTTCTCATCTCCTTCTTTTGCTGTGACAGAACACTGAACGAAGAGCAGCCTAGCCAAGGAGGTTTGTTCCACCTTACAGGTTGCCTTTCATTGAGGGAAGTTGAGACAGGAAGTCAAAGCAGGGACTCAGCCAAGGACAGCAGAGACCACGGAGGATGCTCTGGCTGGCTCGTGCAGTCTCAGCAATTAGCTTTCGCATACAGCCCAGGACCACCTGCCCAGGGAATGGTGGGCTGGCCAGTCCTGCATCAAGTAATAGTCAAGATGAGCCCCCACTGACTTGACCCACAGACCAATCTTATCTGGGTAATCCCTCTATTGAGACTCCATTCTCAAGTGACTACAGGCTGTGACAAGACAACAGTCAAAGCTGACAAGGACAGAGGGCAAAGCAGTAGGCCACTTGGAGCCTCGGTTTTTCATCTGCACCATGAGGCAACAGTACTGGCAAGGTGACACGTGCTATCTCTTCACTCCAAATGCAGCTCCGCCTCCCTTCCAGACTTTTTTCCAAGTTGTAGTTGATGCCCAAGGAATACATCTTAGCTCCCTCTACTGCAGGTCACATCAGCACAACTGGCCCAGTACCGGGGAGGCTCAGGGCCTTTGTACCCAAAGAGTCGCTGTCCCTGTGTCTTCACTGCAGTTAGAGCCCCAGCTGGTCTCTCTCTGGCCTGTCCTCTGGAGGAGCCTGAGTTATGTGGATCATGTATAATTACAGTCGTATGCCATGTAACTGACACTTCAGTCAATGACAGTCGTAAACATGACAGTAATCCCACAGACTATAACCCAGCTGCACCAGGTAAAGGAGCTCTGAGGGCCTCAGCACAGGTCAGGTTCAGCCACAGAAAGGCACTAGGGAGCCACGGAAGACCTTCGAGCAAGGCTGCTGTAACCAGGGACTCATGAAGCCCAGCAGGGAGTGCTGGTGAGGGCTGCTGCCATCCCAGAATGAGCTGTTGGGCAGAGACCAAACTGTCCTAGGCCACCTGTTCCAGCTGCGCAGGGAGTGGGGGACCAACCAACCAGCAGCCCCAGCCAGGCCCAGCTCTTCCAGGAGGTCCCTGCAGGGAGTGGACTGTGGTCCTCCTGAGCAGGGGTCTAGGTGGCACTTGCTTAGATCCCCATCCATCCTGACAGGAACCTGCTCAGGGACAGTCCTCACCAACGCTACTGTGTGCTGCCTCCTCCTGCCCCGGGAGGGGGATCAGGAATGTAGAGGCCCCTCCAGGAAAAGGACAAGGCTCTCCTGGGAAGGAGGAGTCTGCACACATGTCTTCCCACATTCCTCAGCTGGGACAGCTCCTCAGAGCCCAGAGGGCCTGCTCACCTTTCCCTCCTGTTCCTAAGAGCAGGCTCTGTCCACAGAGGACGCTGTCCTGAGAGCTCTGTCCACAGGGGACGCTGTCCTGAGAGCTCTGTCCACAGGGGACGCTGTCCTGAGAGCTCTGTCCACAGGGGACGCTGTCCTGAGAGCTCTGTCCACAGGGGACGCTGTCCTGAGAGCTCTGTCCAAGGGGACGCTGTCCTGAGAGCTCTGTCCACAGGGGACGCTGTCCACAGAGGGGTGTGTCTGGGTTTTATTGACAAGAATGGCCTTGTGAGGCCCAAGTGGATGTAGATGCTGATGGAACAAGGGCCTCAAGGGCACCTAGCAGAGATGCTGATCCCTGCTCCCTCCCAGGGCAATGAGCTAGTCCCAGCCCAGGCTGGTCCTGTCCACACAGACACAAAGCACACACCTGAATTCATCCAAGTCATCACACAAAAAAAAAGGGTACAGATACATACACACACACCCACAGACACAAAGCACACACCTGAATTCATCCAAGTCATCACACAAAAAAAAGGGTACAGATACATACACACACACCCCACACACAGACACAAACACAGACACACAGACACACACACACACACACACAAAGACTCAGAACACAGACACTCAGGCACACACATATTCAGACCCTTATTCCTACACACAAAAAGACACATGTGGACACGGACTCATTCACATATGGACAGACACCGACAGATATAAAAGCAGACAAGTTGAGCCCTGAGAGTTCGCCATGCCTATAATTGCTGCACTTGGGAAGTAGAGGTAGGATGATCAGGAATTTAAAGTCATATTCAGCTTCGTACTTGGAGGCCGGCCTGGGCTACATGAGACCAAGTCTCAAAAAAGTAGAAAAAAAGGATGGGTATGGTGGTGCATGCCCTTAATCCCAACCTTCAGGAGGCAGAGGCACGTGGACCTCTGGCAGTTCGAGACCAGCCTGGTGTACACTGTGAGTTCCAGGCCGGCCAGGGCTGCATAGAGATGCTATCTCCAAAAAAGGCAGAAAGGTGGGGATGGCTCAGCAGGGTTAGGGACCTCTTTCTGTGCAAGGCTGGTGAACTGAGTCAGCTCCAGAATCCAGACTCCAGAATCCAGATGGAGAGAACTGACTCCATAAATGTGTCGTCTGACTTTCACACATACCTCACGGCATGATTGCCCCTCACACCCCATAATAAATGGAATTCTAAAGAAAAAAGTGAGAAAGCAGGTATGAAGTTACTTTTTGAAAGCAAAACAAAACTGAACCCCGTTAAAAACAGAGGCGTGGGGAGGACTGGAATGCCGGAGCGGAGGGGCTGCCACAGGGTCCTGGGGTAGCTGGAGCACTTCCCAATGGTTGGGTATAACACAGACTACCAATTATCACTGTCCCTTCCTGCAGGATGGATTCCTTCGATTCCTTCGAGGATACTCTGCGGAGGCTGCGAGAGGCCTTCAAGGCAGGGCAGACCAGGCCTGTGGAGTTCCGGGTGGCACAGCTGCAGGGCTTGGGCCACTTCCTCGGAGCCAACAAGCAGCTGTTGCAGGATGCACTGGCAGAGGACCTGGGCAAGGTGGTATAGGGGTTCGGGGCTGCAGCTCTAGGTCAGGGGCTTCTCTGTTCTTTCCAGACTGGGCGGTATCCTCCATGAGGTCTCGTCCCCCTGAAGAAGGTCATGCCTCCCAATGTGACTGGCTGTTTTCCCAAACTATATTTTGTGTATTTCACACCTGTCCCGGCATACAGAATGCAATATTAAATCAGGAAGGCCCACAGACACCCTGAGAGACCAGCTTAATGGCTGTCGTCAGGTTACAAATGGGGAAACTGAGGCACTCTGGGTAAGACACTTGCTCAGGGTCAAAAGGCCAGGCAATGGCAGGCCAGAGTTAGAGTTCTCATGGGACCACTACAATGCATATGCTGTCTTTATGTGCTGGAGAAGACCCCTTTGTGGTCTCCCTATAGCCATGAGCCTAACCCACTACCCCACTCCACAGTCACCCTTCGAATCAGACATAAGTGAGATCATCCTGTGCCAGAATGAGGTGGACTTGGCCATCAAGAGCCTGCAGACCTGGATGAAGGATGAGCCAGTGGCCACCAATTTGGTGGGTGCCGCTGGATGGGTGACTGTGGGGTGCAAGTAACTGGGGTAACAGGACACAGGGCAGTCCTACCCCAGGCACTGTCTTCCCCTTTGGAGACCCCATCACCCAGGGAGCTGAGAACCCAGATGTGTAGGGGGGGATGTTAGGTGCTTCTCTCTGACATCTCACCATCATCCTGCACCCCAGCTCACCAAGCTGAGCTCCGCCTTCATCCGGAAGGAGCCCTTCGGCCTGGTGATTATCATTGCTCCCTGGAATTACCCTCTGAACTTGATGATCATGCCCCTCGTGGGGGCCATCGCTGCAGGTGAGGGTGGGTCCTGGGCCCCATGATTTCCTAGTATGACAACCCTTTCCAAAGAGGGCATCGGGAGGCCCTGGAGGGTGTGGGCACCAGCCTCCCCCAGCGCCCCTCCATCTGCCTCTGCAGGGAACTGTGTGCTGCTGAAACCATCGGAAATAAGCAAGAACACAGAGAAGGTCTGGCTGAGCTGCTGCCCCAGTACCTGGACCAGGTGGGGACGGCTCGGCCTGTCCTGGCCAGTGGGGAGATCCCGGTGTGCCCTGGGTCTGCCTCCTGAGCTGTCATCCTGCCTTGCAGAGCTGCTTTGCCGTGGTGCTGGGTGGGCCCGAGGAGACTGGGCAGCTGCTAGAACACAAATTTGACTACATCTTCTTCACAGGTGAGGACAGCCCTAGTCAGGATCCTGGGGACAGAGACAGAAGAGAATGGGGGTAGGAAGGTGTGGAAGGATGCGGCAGTAAGCCAGGGTAGGGAAGGAATCAAGAGCTGGAGGCGTCCCAGAGGGCAGGCTGTTCACACACCCTAGGAATCCTGCAGACTGGATCCTGGGAGGTGGGACCAACCAGTACTTGGGTCTCTTCAGAGAGAAGGCAAAGTCATGTCCCTGGACCACTTGTCCAGGTGAGGATGACTTCTCTTGACCATGTCCCCAGGGAGTCCTCGAGTAGGCAAGATTGTCATGGCCGCGGCTGCCAAACACCTGACACCCATCACCCTGGAGCTGGGGGGCAAGAACCCCTGCTATGTGGATGACAGTTGTGACCCCCAGACCGTGGCAAACCGTGTGGCCTGGTTCCGATACTTCAATGCCGGCCAGACCTGCGTGGCCCCCGATTACATCCTGTGCAGCCAGGAGATGCAGGAGAGGCTGCTGCCTGCCCTCCAGAGCGCCATCTTGCGTTTCTATGGCGACGACCCCAAGACCTCCCCGAACTTGGGCCGCATCATCAACCAGAAACATTTCAAGAGACTCCAGGGATTGCTGGGCTGTGGTCGTGTGGCCATCGGTGGCCAGAGTGAGGAGAGTGAACGCTACATCGGTGAGCCACCCCTCCCCTGCCACAACCCACCTAGGCTGAGACCATTCCACACTGCAAGGGGCCGAGCGGGACCTCGAGTCTCAGGTACCACCCAAGTCCTGGCCCTGCTGTTTGAGCCATGCCTAAATCCATGGCTCTAGGTGCTACAATTCTCTATCACCCTGGCTCTCAGTCTGTGACTCCTCAATTCCCAAATCAAGCCCACCACTCTAAACCCACCGAGCTGGGACCCCAGTTCTAGGTTCTAACCCCACAGTATTGATTAAACTCCCACTTGTTTTCCACTGTCGCATAAGCCCAGGACTGTAGACGCTCAGACCCTTAGAGACTGGAGTCCTGGGAGGTCAGACCCTGAGACTCCCCAGCCTGGAGCCCAGCTCCCACTGACACATCTGCCCCTGGGGGTGTCCTGACAAGTGAGACTGAGTCACACCCCCCCCCGTGTCACAGCACCCACAGTGCTGGTGGACGTGCAGGAGACAGATCCGGTGATGCAGGAGGAGATCTTTGGGCCCATCCTGCCCCTGCTGACCGTGAAGAACCTGGAAGAGGCCATCGACTTCATCAACCGGCGGGAGAAACCACTGGCGCTGTACGCCTTCTCCAACAACAGCCGGGTATGGGCCTGACGGGGCCACAGAGGAGGTGAAGGGGCGCACACTGGCCACACCCCCTGCTTGGGGCTTTAGACAGCAGATGTTCCAAGTTTGACAGATCCCAGCTATCCCGTTCCACTGCAGGCTGTACAAAGGCACCTGCAGACAGGGCTCAGGCAGGGTCACAGGTGCAGGGTGCATGGCTAGCCAGCTGTCTGTCCAGCCAACTGTCTGTCCTGGCTGGGGTAGCAAGAAGAGGTACGCTATGGACAAACCCCTCTCCTGAACTGTGCAAAGTTTTCTGCCAGTAAGCCCATCTCCATCTGGGACTGGGGGACAGTATAGACCAGGATCACATAGGCAGAGCCTGGCTAAGATCCAGTGGGGGCTCCACACTCACAAGGTTCTAACTTTTCGGCTCTCCTGTACATTAACCATCCCCACAAGGGGCGCCCCCTAGTGGGAGATCAAAATAAGGGCTTGCTCAGTCCAGGGTGGGCCTGGGGAAGGCAATGCACCCCTCTGCATCCCCAGTGGGATGGTCAGAACTCAACCTCATGGCTCCACCTCCCCTACTTCCTCCAGGGGTGAACCAGGTGTTGGACTGCACCAGCAGCGGTGGCTTTGGAGGCAACGATGGCTTCCTCTACCTGACCCTGTCAGCCATGCCCCTGGGAGGAATTGGTGAGGTCCTGCCCTCCTCCACAATCCAACCACAACCTCAGGAATTCCTTTCACTTGCTTTACCTGGATCTCATGGCCTCAGTCTCGCTATCTGTAAAATGGTTCTTAGCTTTGCCTGCCTCTCTCTGAGTTCCCTGCAAGCCTTGGGCTTCTAGCCCGGGAAAGCGGCTGCTACTGGGATTGGTGCACACAGGTGAACAGGGCGCTGTCCTCACAATCTCACTCTGTGCCATGCAGGTAACAGCGGGATGGGCCGGTACCATGGCAAATTCTCCTTCGACACCTTCTCCCACCACCGCGCCTGCCTGCTGCGCAGCCCAGGGATGGAGAGGCTTAATGACCTCCGCTACCCGCCCTATAGTCCCTGGAGCCAGCAACTGATAAGCTGGGCTATAGGTTCCCAGAGCTGTACCCTTCTGTAAATGCCACCGACTCCAGCAGGTCCCCAAGCCCTCCTTCTGTGGCTCA